ACTCTAAGGTAATTGTTAGCTACTTTAGAGTTAACCTTTATTGTTATCTGGGCTGATGTTATTATGTGCTTTGTTTTTAAGTTGCTTTAACCTTTTTTTTAATTATATTTCTTATTACTTAATTTAGAAGTACTGTAAGAACACCTTTATTTGTCCGACATTTAGACAGTCAGCTGAACAGTTGAGTCATTCATTTATCAAATGTGAAATTTAAGTTTTAAATTCACCAAATATTTTAAATACAATTGCATCCAACTTTTTTCTTTAATTTTGGCTAATATGTAGCGTCCTTTGCTGTAGTTTATCCTAATGCTTTGTCCATTCCTGATTTAATGTTTTGCCAAATAAAAGACAAAAAAAAACATATTACAGAAATTCTCTCACTGGGACCATGTGACACCATTTCAAGGAGTCTGATTGGCCTCCGGGCTGCACCTGCGCTCAACCTTTTCTATGGTTTGTAGCTCAGAAGCCCACATATGAACGTGAGGAGGTCAGGGCCCTTGGTGTGACCTTCTTCAGCCTGACCCTGTTGGTCCATGGATACATCACCCCAGGTCAGACTGACCCACATACTGAGGATCAACAGCTGACCTGTATGGTCAGTTCTTTCAGGTCACAGACCAGCAGGACCTCAGACAGTGACAGTGATGCTACTGCAGTGTTTCTTCGCACACATATTGGGTGTCTACTGTTCTCCTGTTTCACAGAGACCATTGACTTGACCGGGATAAAATGACTACAGTTACCTCCTACTGTACACATACCCTGATTATTGCAGGCGTTTCCAATGTCAACAATTACCTTTAAAAATATAATCAAGTTAAGCTGTGGTAGCATTTTCTAGATAGCGATATTAAATAGATTCCTAAAGAGCTATATGAAATCCACAAGCAGTGTTAATGGATCTTTGGTCAATTTGAAACATGGATTATTTACCTAAATGTCCTGTCCGATTCAAAAGGCATTCTATTAAAATAAGATGTTAACATGCTGCCGAAAAACGATAGCTTATATGACACATACTGTACAGTATAGTAGCGCTCTGTCACTGCTGCCATTGACATGTATGTACTTTCCATGACAAAGTAAAGTAAGCTAAGGTAAGATACAACAGAATAAGATAAGATGAGAGAAAACAAGGTAAAATTACAAAAGGAATACAAACGTTTATCTTATCTTAAAAGCTAACGTAACGTAACGTAATGTATATAGTACGCTAAAACAACATAAATTAAGCCAAGCTAAAACAACTGAGGATTTTAAAAGCTATGCTAAGATAAAATAAAGTTAGCTATTCTGAGTAAAACTAAGAAAAGCTTAGATAAAATATGCTAACAGGTCCAAAGCTAGGCTAAGATTAGCTAAACTAAGCTATTTTAGGATATTCTGTATGAACTATAAAATGCTAAGTTAGTACAGTTCATTGTATGTGTACGCAGCACATTAGTGATAAGTGTTTACTGGTCAGATGTGTCCAGCTGAGGTCAGTCAGGTTGTTCCCTCCGGTCAGAACATCAGGAAGCAGAAAGATTACAGTTGTACAAAACCATTAGCGGCGAAGCACATAAAAGCTGCTGCTGTCTCTGATCCCAGTGAAGAAAGTCATCTTTAATCCCTGTACAGCAGGATTAAATCCATGTAGGACTGCTGCTGCTGCGGTCAAGGCTACAGTGCATCATGTCATACTGTCCTTGCACCTCATGTGGCTGATCATCGGCTAATAGTCGTCTTTTAATCCACGTTTTGTCCAATATTCTGTCCATTTGCTTAGTTTGACCAGCATTTAGCTTTTATTAATGTTCTTCTGCCTCTACCTGCCTGATGGACAGCTGTTTCCTGCTCTGACACAGTTGATAATTGGTTCACAATCTAATCCTGCTCATCCCATTTCATCAGGGGATTCACCTGTGCATAGACTATAGACCAGCCTTATGTGCGGTCTCTGTTTGAACTAAATGTATATTTTCTCCCAGCAGAAGACAAGGAAGACCTCAGCTTGCGACCCAGAGATGTATTTATCCACATCCGTCTTTCCTGATCGCTCATCATTTTCAAAACTGTGGTCATCTTGCTCCATACTCTCTCTCTCTCTCTTTCTCTCTCTCACACACACACAGTTCTCAGTAGTCTGAAGCTGTCAGTTTAAATCCATCAGACCAGCAGGGGGCAGGCTGTGACCTCCTAACGGTCACCTCATCCACCATCTCGTCCTCTTTTCCTCTCTTTGACAACTCTCAGTCATTCTAATCAATAAAAGAAATCGATATCCTTTGAAGATATTTAGCATGTAGCATGTTTTTGGCGATGCTAGTACTTTGGATTCTACCACACACGTGTTAGCAGTACTTCAGTATGTAGTGTATAAGCAGCATGTTACTGTAGCTGTGCACTACCACATTTTGTGCTAGCAACATGCTAGGATGTTGCATTTTAAACTAACCATTAGCAGCGTTAGGCCAAGCTACATAACCCTTCGACAGACTGAAATTATTTATATGAAATTATATATTATTTAAATATTTAGTCTAAAAACATGGGCTGTAAACTCCTGGCCTGGGGACCACTTCCTGTCCCAGAACCCACCACACCTGGCCCAGGACAAGGTAATAATAATACTTTAATTTAATTTAAAATCATTCAATTTATATATTACAAATAATTAAATGTATTTTTGTTCTTATTTTCTGACTGCCCTGCTCATGTTCCTGAAAGTAAACAGAGTCCAGGAAAACTCAGACTGTTTTTCATCGTCTAAAAGCCTTTTCCAGTCGTTACCTCTGACCATTAGACCTCTGTTCAAACCTGCGTGTTAACTCACACTGGGAGCTACCAGTCTGTCCGGAAATTTCCGTGTCACTGAAGTCAAACCAACGGTACGTCTTTTTCTGTTTTTCCATGATCATGTTTTCCATTTCCCTTTCATTCTCCATCTTCCTGTCCATTTCCATTGTCCCGACATTATTTATTCATGCGTTATTGTCTGTATCCGTTTTATTGAAGTGCTCTCCATAATAAAGTTTCTCTTCATAAATTATTCTTTTCTTTTTCAGCTTTTTCTTAAACAGGAAAGTGAAAGTGTTTCAGTGGAAGTACAGAGAGTGCAAGAAGATGATGTTCAGTGACAGTGTGGTCTGTGACCATAGACGGAGAGAGTGTGTGTGTGTGTGTGTGAGAGAGAGAGAGAGATTGTTTCTAATGAAAAAGAGAGAATAAAATAAAATAATCATAAATAATATTTCTCTGTAATTCAGAGAAATAATTAGTTAGCAAACAAATTGTTTGACCTTGTTAAAAACATTAAAATTAGTACAAATGTAATCAAAACACAGAGTCAAGTTTTCACCTAGTTTAGACTTTCCGACTTCCACGTGTTTCCATTGGACAATTACATAATTCAAGCTCAAGGCAAAGGAAAATAGTCACAGTGTAGTGTTTGTCAGGAGACAAAATATCTCAGTGACAAAACAGTGACAACGGTAACGTGTTAGCTTAATGTGGTGTGGTGGCCAAAGTAGGACACACTTACACACACACAAACACCATCCTGCTTGTCTGATTGGTCCTGTCACAGACAGAAACAGCCAACCTACTGAAGACTGAAGACTGAAGACTGAAGACAGGGGAAGAAAAACTCCCATCAATGATTTCAGGTCAAACATCAAAGATGTAAAAGCAGCAGCAGAACATAAAGAGAAGAATCTTCTCTGTATTGCAAGTTTGGCCACTGTTTTAACATAATATAATAAGATTTTTGGTTCAGTCGTTTGTAGGTGCATTTCCTTAATGTTTTAGGCAACAATCACTAACTGGTGTCTTATTCTAATTGAATATGTTTAAAAGAAAAATTATGTGAATTTATTTAAGTGTTTATTTCAAAGTGGACTTCTTGTCAACTATTGATAGTTTTTGTTTTGTTTGTTTGTTTCGCCAAACTCTTCAGTATTAACAGTAAATGAAGTTAAGGGCGTTTTTTAAATTTTAATTCTTCTTCTTAGTTTTCTCAGAGTTTCAGCTTTTACAGTGGTTTCAGTCGGCAGTGATTTTCCTCAAGTGTCAGTTTGAGTGTGTTTCTGTGTGTGTTTGCTGTCATTGCTCAGCTGGGTGTGTTCACACATATGCTGGTGCAAAAAGCAGGAAGGCAAAGAAGTGAAAATGGGCCGAGGTGCTGTTTGTGTACATGTTAGTGTGTCACAGCTAAAAGCCTCCTCCATCACAGTAGTCCTTCTCCTCTTTCACTTACAATATGGAGCCCACTTCAATCTTGGATTTTAGTAATTGCAGTTCAAGATATCTCCAGTAGGAGGCAGACCTGGACTACAGGCACACCTTGTGTCCATAATTACTTGCTTTTGCAAATTGTGACGTCATTGTCCAGCTAAACAAGTCCACTCAGCTTCCAATCAGCCTCTGCATCAGTACTGCAGTACCTTCATGTACCGTAGTGAATATACTGATCCCCAATATCACCTCATGCTGCACCACTATACCATCGCAGCTGACTGTTGCAACTTTAGTTGATAATGGTCCTTATCTGTAGCAGGAATTTGAAAAAAAAAATAGTTTGGCTTCTTTCTTTAAAACACAGTCTTCTTGTTATGATGCCCACAGACCTTTTCCAGTGACTATGGATTTGTTCTGTTCTTCCAGTACAAATCCATACGTAATGTTGACCAGTTGTAGCTGCCCTACAGGCAGGTAGCGTGGCCGAGTGGTCTAAGGCGCTGGATTTAGGCTCCAGTCATTTCGATGGCGTGGGTTCGAATCCCACCGCTGCCAGCAAGTGTTAGCTTTAGTTATATAGTCTTGCAGTTATCACATCTGCCTTCTACGCAGAAGGTCAAGGGTTCAATCCCCAGGGAAACCACATACTGGCGCCTCCAAGAGGCAACATTTTCCCATTATTCAATTCTATCCAATCCTTCATATAAAGACTTTGAACTAACCTAATACAGTTAATACAATTTACCCATTTAAACTACACAATAAGGAATGGGTGTAACACATATGATCCTCTTAGCCTCACTTTGCTGTTCTGACCAATCAAAAGTGCCCAGCAGCAGCAGCAGTAACTTTGACTTGATTTTATTTGTTATGTTATGTGTAGAAGCTGGTTGGATATTCTGTAGAGGAGGTGACATTCTCCAGTTGACATTCAAAAAGCAAAAGAGCAGGAAGTTGATGATGTTTACACAAAATACTTTACTTTAATCACATTTTAATACCACATGTTTAAAATAAAAATGATAAATAACAAAGGAGACATGCAGTAAATCCAAGACCTTTGAAGACAAAAATGGCCAAAGATGTTACTGCTCTAACTGTAAGGTAAACTGAAGTTAAAGAGACAACAGGACATAAGGAACAATGTTAACACAACACACTGTTAAATGCTTTTCTTTGTCTCTACCACTACTAAAGCTACAGGAGGAGGTTGGTGATGACAGTTATTTTGGAGAGTTATGTGAAGGGACATTGATGTACAGTGACATACATTATATTGCATTTTTATATTAAAGCATTTGGGAAAAGATTGTAGTGGCTACTAAGCGCTAAAGTGGTGCTTAGCGCTAATTGTTCCTAAGGCCATGCTGTTATTTGTTGTAAACAGCAACCTCAACTTTAAAAACAGTACACCAACATTCTTGCTACAGTCACATTAAAACCTAACGAGATAAAGGCTAGGCTAGACCAAGCTAATTCTCTATACCAGGGGTGTCAAACACACAGCCCACAGCCCAAAACCGACCCACAGGGGGATCGATCTGGCCCACTTGATGAATTTTGAAAGTGAAAAAATGCACAAAGACTTCATGTTCGAGATGTCTTGTTAAATTACGTTTCATTAAATATGACGATATTCTAATAAACTTAATCATGTTTGCATGAAAACAAATGAGAATGAGAAAAAAACATGGATTTTGTTATTTATAGGGAATCATGTCCTAATTATTCTGGCCCGGCCCACTTGACATCTACTTCAGTTTAATGTGGCCCCTGAACCAAAATGAGTTTGACACCCCCAGACTGTACTGGCTCCATTTGACACTGGCTGATACTTTAGCTTGAGGACGTCCTGTTTACTGTAACAGAAAGGACAAGACAAAACACCTTGTAATCCAGATTTTTTTTTTTCTGTCATCAAACTCAGAGTAAGGCAATAATTAGCAACCACACACTTGTGTGGTTTTACGTTTAGAATTTGGTTTTCGCAAAGAATTAAATGCTCTCATATCCATTGTCAAAGCACTTGAGTTTTTAAAGATTTTTTTGTAAAATCGAAAAAAATGTGAAAATAGTAAAAAACATGTTAAAGGAATCATAACACACCACAGACCCCACTGTTCTATAAATATAATCATGCAGCAGTCTTTGCACAAAAAACATGCTCAAGCAACCAAAGCCAGTGACACCTTCAAAGTAGAAGGAAACAAATGCTTACAGCACTGTAAAACAATTTAGGAGCAAAGATATTCTCACTTTATCACTGAGAATAATGTCGTGATTAACTCCATCTATTATTTACAAAACACTCCTTACTGGATTGGTGTGCACATATACGGTGAGTGTGTTACAGTGTTTCTCACACAACAACATGAAGTCATTAAGTCAACAGGCAACTCACTAACTGGCTGTAGTCGAGAAAAGGCATTCACTTCTTCTTTGGGCAACCAAAAATGCTTCTACACTTCAGACACATCAGGTCCTTTCTGACGTGTCTGTTTCACAGTGATAAAATAGTTAAGTGATATTTACAAACTTAACAATTTAACAATTATATTTTATGAACTATAAACCATTTAAAGATCAAGGATCAGAACCTAAAACTGCTCTGTATTCATGATAATAATGTTAATGTGGTTTTTGTACTATTGTCAGGGTCTATATTTGGTTAAAGGTATAATTAAATTCAACTTCATTTTCAAAAACTTGCACTCACAGACTTGTGAGTATAGGTGCAGCGTTTCTTTGCTTTTTGCAAGCAAGTTTAACATTTGTTCTCTTTGGACAAATGTGACGGCAACATGTCTGGATAATGGCTGTGTTGCTTTAACAGACACACAACCAGAGGCATCACAAAGAGGCAATTACTGGCAAAATTAAAAATGTTTCAGCATAAGTGGAGAGACACTCACTGTAGATCCAATAACTCCACTGTGTTGACCTGACAGTGAACGCTCTAACACACAGTTGACACACGCTGTCAATTGCACACTGTGATAAAAAGGGGGCTTAAATTGCAACTTGGGCTTAAGGTGCCGTAGTACTGTCCAGCATGTGTTTGTTCAGACTTCAGGTCAGACTGTCTGACACACCACAGACCAGAGCACAGGGCAGTGAGCAAGTCTACGACTGACAAATGAAATTCGACTGACTGTAGACTGATTCCTATTGTTGGTGACAATGTCTTCAATGAAGTCTTAAAGCATTTTGACAGTTTTACATATTATTAATTCCTATATTTGGAATTGTCACACGTAGAAAATAGTGTGAAATATACATTTTTATCATGTTTGTCATATTCAAGACAAATTCCTTTTTTACCTGGAACTTTGCTGGTTACCAACGTCTACTGTTAAAGCAACAACAAACAGAACATCATACACACAAACCTCACCAAAGCATGACATCATGGTTAATAAGAACACACATTTTGATACTATGACCTACATCATACTTTCTTTAGTTCCATCCTTCTTCTTCTTCTACTCTATCAAACCTCACCATCACTAACTCACATGTTCAGTTACTGCCACTCCTTAGCTTCTCCTCCGACCACACTCTGGACTTCTATGGATCCTGTGGAGCAGCAGGTCCTTCAGGGCGAGAGACGGAGATGGTGTTTGTCGACCAGCTATTTCCATTAGGAATCAGGCAGGATTTGATGGACGGTGTGTGAGTGGCACTGAGGAGACAGCTGTTCTCCAACTGAAAAGACATACAGTATATAACTAATAGTAGAAAAAAAAAACAATATTTTAACACAAGTTTTGACCAAAACATTTGTTAAAATACTAACAGTCTTTTTTCCCTAGGACAGTGAAGACATCACTGGATCTCCTCTTCCTCATTTTTGTTACAGTAGAGGTAGATGAGTGCACCATCTGCTTTGCTCCCACTTCACTTCTGTTCACTTACTCCTTTTGTCTGAGATCATATTGGCCCCTGCTCCTCCGTGCAGCTGTGTACTCTGCTAATTCACCGCTGTGTGTGCCGCATCTCTGTCAGCAGAAAAAGTCTATTAGTGCTTTACCGCACTGGCCCTGAGTTTACAACGTTAGTCTTTTTGTAGGTCAAGACCTCTCATGCATGACTGCCCATCATGTCAGTATTTATCTTACGTCCCCAGCCACTGACCCTGAAGAATAACAGTAGATACCCAGTGGGGCGTGGGGTGAATGGATGGGTCGATGCCTGCCAGGGCCTGAACATCTCCTGGGGCAGGAGCACAGCCTCTGCAGTTCCTCTCTTTATTACTTCTTTGCTTATGATAAATGCAAACGATTGTGAGCAATGTAAGAAAAATGTCCATAGGGCTGGCCTATTTTTCTGGCTCAGGTATTCAGTAGAAAGGAAATGTGTCGTGGAACCTGGCACTAACCCTCACTGAGTTTCCTCTGGTTATCAGACTGTCTGGTCTAGACCGCCTCTCTCTGACTGATTTATACGACTTGTCTGGTTGCATCACCGCAGTTTACACTGAGCATCGTACCAGTCTGGAGTCTCTGTGTGCTGAGCTGTAAACATATCAATTCAAAGGACAGTGAGAGAGAACAGAGCGGGGTCAAAGGGTCAGGGCTGTTGGTCCTGCAGCGCTCGGTTTGTTGACGTTAAATGATATTTGAGAGCAACACAGACCCGAGGCTCAGTCATTGATGGAGGATCAAAAAGTCTTGACAGTCAGACTAAACAGAACTGACACTTTTATCTATCTAGAGATTGTAACACAGATACAAAGATGGAACAGGGCTGCACCAGTCCCAGTGGTTCACAGACATGGATTTTCTGTGTCTGAAATATTTTGCATGTGATTCAGCCACAAATTTCAATTCTTCAATGAGGATTGTTGTGCTTGTCAAGGTGACCATGGCCAGTTTTGGTTCAAATCAGGAAAGAGTACACCCCCCCCCCCCCCCCCCCCCCCCCCCCCCTCCCATATTATCTCCCGGCGTGACAAGCCGGTAATGGAAAAATCACACTAAGCAAATGGTTCTTCTAATAACAATAAATTTCCTATAAACATGCAAACTCCACAGAGAAAGACCAACTGGAGATCAAACTTGTGATCATCTTGTTATAAAGACACTTAAGAGTGGCAGAAAAATACTTGAGAGTGGTGGACCTGTCCACTTTACATGCCTGGACATAAACCAGGAAAACTACAAGGCTTGAAGAAACAAGGAAGACCCCAGGTAATCTCCATGGATATTGTAAAGGGGGGACATTGGAGGAGACCAGACACTGAAGACTGAGGTGGACGATTGTAATCACTTTGACACCTGAGATCTCTTAAAACTCAATTTAAAAAACATTCTTCTCTGTTTCTGTTTGTAAAAATGAGACTTGTTGGTTTATACCAGCCGGACCTAAAAATACTTTCTGCAATCTATCACACATGGACTCAATTCCACTTACCGTGCACTGAGTGGTTTCCTCTGCACTGATCCCAAACATGCTGTACGGCTGTAGAGATGTCAGGTTGTTCTGAAGATGAGTCAGATCCAACAACGGCTCTAATTCCACTCCAGAGCTTTGGCCCACACCAGATGAACCAGCATGAGTCTGAACCATCATCTGCTGGTTCATCTGGGCACCCTGGTGCTGGGAGTAACAAATGTCCAGTGCGGTCCCTGTACTGCAGGAGGAGTGTGGTGTCTCGGAGATACTACATCCCATACGGGACACCTCCGTGTTCGGTGTCAGTTGGTTTGGCGTGTAAGATCTGCTCGTCGTCTGCCCAAGAAAACTCTGAGATGGTGAAGCAGTGCTGCAGTTTTCCTGATGAGAAGGCTGTAGCTGAGTGAAGTTCTGGTCCGTGTGGAGCTGCCACTGGTGAGAAGGAAGCCTTTTAAGCTCAGGGTTCTGCTGGAAAACCTTAAGTGAAGTATGTGGATGTTGATGAGCGCTTTTGGGAACCCAGGGTAAAGCATTAGTGCTCAGAGATTCAGAATGATAGAGAGTGTTGCCTTGGACCACATGATGAGTCATCTGATCACATGTACGGAGTTGATGCTGCATTTGCTGTGATAAAAAATCCTCAGGCCCCTTATTTTTGGACAGAACTGTTGGTGCCTGCAGGTAGGGGTTCGGTGATGAGCCCAACAGCCCGAATGTCCCTGTGCTCCCTGGTTCCTCTCCCTCTGTTTGACCCTTGTTGGAGTGATGGTCGTAGGTATAGATATTGTTGTCGGTGAGATGATCACCAAAGTTAGAGCCCAGCTCCAAATGAACCATCCTCTCATCCAGCAGGAGGAGCTCTAGGTCTTCTGCGTCCAGGCCCAGATTTTCCAGCGCATTAAAAAGTTCACTGTTGGAGCACATCTCACCCACATCGAGGGACAAGGACTCAAATAGTGGATCATAGTTAACGGTGCTACTGCTGTATCTCCCTGACTCTCTGTCAGATGCAATGTGCCTGCTCTCTGATGAACCACTAAAAACAAACTCATTTGGCTGTTGGCAAGTAAGGCTGCTCTGGTGTGGCATTTCAGGCTCTGCGTTTGGTTGGCAGATGTACACAGATTCATCCTGGCTCATCAGGGCTCCCAGCAGAGACTTTGGGTCCAGGTCCCGTTTTAAACTCTTGTCCATTTTGCCCTTGTTGGATTTGCCGCCTTTGACTCTGCCCTGGAGGGAATGAGGGAAGCCATGCAGTGGAAATCCAGTCTGGTAGAGCAGCGCCTCCCCAGTGGCGAAGGTGAAAGGAAGCTGCATGGACCTCTTCCTCAGGTGCTCCCCTCCTTCCTCATCCCTGGGGGAATGGACAGACACACAATATTAACTTTTTAAAGCATTGTTATTAAAACCCAGCTCTTATCACGTGTACTTACGCCAGGGGTCTTTGAGTGGCAATGATGTAGTCTGGCTTCCCGTTCTTGTAGACAAGCCGTGCGTTGGCTTGGACCCACTTCCAACAGTTGTCTTTGGTGAGCAGTCTGAAGACGGTGAGGCCGCTCTCACCAGTCTTCATCACTGAAATTACATCAGAGACGACATAAAAAGATTCTTGGTGAAGTTTTGGCCGTGCACATACATATAAAACAAAAGAAAACAAACCTCTACTCTCTCTTCTTTGTATGTTTTGCAATACTTTTCCATGAGTTTTTTTTACTGCCTACATTCCAGGTTGGAATTCCACCTTAAGGTTAAATAGTTTGTTACAAGAGCTGGATTATTTTTAGGTGACACAATCGAAAATCATCTTTTCAAAGTTTTGCCCATCTATCTGTTAGGTTAACTTCAGTCTATCATTGTTGTGTTTTTACTGATACTGTATGTTTTATTTTTGTGGTTTTAGTTTATTCCTTACTTCTCAATCTACTTAGGTAGAGTTTTGTTCACTTTTTAGAAATTGAAAACACCTGGTAACCTTGCCAAAGGTTTGCATGTTTTCAAGTAACCATTATATTTACACAATGTTTTTTTGTTTAATTATTATTTTTTTAGTTCATTTCTTTCTCTTTGATTACTTGTGCCAGTTTGAGTAAATATTCAAAAACATTTTATTTGCTAACTTTTAATAAAGTTTTACTAGGTGAATGTTAAACTGGTAGCTAGTTTTATTCAATTTTAATTTATTTAATGTCGTTGCAAAAGCTCACAAAACATTTATTTTTGTAAAGAAAATAATTGCCTCTACTCCTTCATTCTGTGTTTTCAAGTATTTGGAATTTGGCATAAATCCAAATGGCAAATATCGTTCTACAGTGTACCAAAGGTACACATAAATACAATACATTTGTTAAAGAACAGGTAAAACATGCATTGTTTAAACCTCATGTTTGTCAAACTTCTTCACATTGATAAAATTAAACGATTGCAAAGACTTTAATATCAACAAAAAAACAAAAACAAAACAGTTGACCTTACTTCTGACGTGGTTTTCGGCACAGTGCAACATATCAGCAGCGTGGATAAACTGGTAACCAGAACCTCGAACCCTCAACTCAGCCTCGGTGTATCCCAGAACAATTTTACCCCTTCACAAAATAGCAAAAGAAATGTTTTGTTAAATATTCAGGACATTAACTAAATACTTTGTCAGGAAATCATACTTTGCATCACAAGCCATGGGAGTGAAATCCAGCTTGTGTTTGGTCCTAAAGATCAAGTTCCTGGTACGAATCTCCAAGATGGTGAGAGGCTGCAGTGGTGTAGCAATGGCAAAGAGCGCGAGCTGGGGCGGTGCACAGTTGTCCTTGCAGTTACAGTGCTGATGGTTCTGACCATGTAGAAACTTTAACCGACCCTGGATGTTCAGTGCCTGAGGAAAAACATACGACTGTTCATGTGTTGCTTTTCAGACATTTGCATCAACAACTTCATCTACCTAATGGTGCTGTGTTATCACTCAGTCTCATTCACACATCATTATTCCTAATGCTTTACAAAAGACATAGACAACATTTTAGTTCTGGCTTTGAACAGCTTCCTAGGACGGTCCCTGGATAGTAATAAAACAACTTCACTATGCTAATGATTAAACAATGCTAAGGCAAATGCCATGACCTTCAACACAACCCTTGTAGTCGTCTTGAATTAGTTGGTACACATTAGACACACATTCAGCAGTAGCTTCTTCCATTCTACCTGAACTTTACTGCCTCATTCAATCATTAGTGAACAACCTTAATATGAAAATCTGTTATAATTGAAACAGAATGCAACTCATTTTAATGTTGTGTAAGTGTTGCAATGAATACATCTTGAACAAAATGACTAATCTTTCACTGAATTAAACACAAATTTAATTTCCTTTTTTTTTTCATTAATGCTAATCAACAAATGTTGTTGTTTATTAAATAACTAGTTGCTGTGTTCTTGGTATGAAATATAGATCAGCTTAAATTCTGACACAAATGTCTCTGTATCGTTATGATTTAACTCTGCCTAACTGACTTTAAGAACCTGCAGCTGTGACGTCAGGAATCTAGCTCTGAATAGCGTGAGGGATTACGACAAAACAAAGCACGTAGCGAGCAGCACACACCAGAACAAACCTGGCTTAATGCCTAATACACTGAGAGGGACTGAGATGTGCAGGTCCAAAGTCATCCTTAAGAGCGGCTGTAGGATGTACATGTACGGTGCCGTCTGTTTCTCCTTTCAGGATACATTACATTAGAAAATAGACCCAGTAGGTGGCAGTAAATGTAGTCTACAGAATGTGGAGATACAGGTGAAGCTTAAAAGAAATAAAAAGGTTTC